TTTATCAAATTATTCTCAAATTCAGTATTTTTGGTAGTTCATCAGTTAATAATTTCTTGTTTTCTGCACGATGAAATTGCCACTTTTTCTAGATAAAGCACAATAATAGCTTTAGTTATTCATCCAACTTATTTTTAAAGCTGTTTTTCTAATCCCTTTTCGCTTTTAATATCCCTTTCCTTTTCCGCATACGTTGACAGGCTTCCATGAAAGCTTGACGAGCCACATTTTTGGTACTTTGAAACCTTCATTAATACACGTCTTATCTCATCCTCGGTACTGTTTACACTTCTCAATTATTTTCGTTGCCAGCAAACAATTTCTTCGCTTTTCAGTAAAACTGTTTTATTGTTATGTTTTTCCCAGCCAAAAATTCATATTTTTTTAAGTAACTTTTATTGGGACGGTCTACTTGACTGCTATATCAAGCTTCAGTCATTCGCAAATTTCGGTCTACAGTCTTGTATTTGTTATTGCGAATTTTATTTCTAATTTTATTTTATAATACTGTGATGACTATACGCTAAATAAAAATAATTGTTCCGATGATTGTTTAGGTAACACAGTGTCATTATTAAACGAACCATTTAACTCCACTTGCTGCTATATAAGCGCTGTATATAGCAGCAACTATGATGTTACCATCAAAATTATACAGAATAGTTCACTATTGCGACATTTGTTTATATGTCTATTAGAAACTATTTGACACGCTGTCTTCGCAAATTCTTAGCAATTGAGAAAATTTTTAATTATTAACTTAACGAAAAAAAGTGGCTCCTCCTAAATAGTCCTGCTTGGTGAGAAAATAAATTTGTACAAGAATATTTATATATTGGACATATAGGGTGACTACAAAAAGAAGCGGGTTTAAAATTAATAAAAGAAGTTGCTGTGCCGAAAAAAAAATACAAATGTGATCAAAAGAAAAGAACTTTTTTAGTTTTCAAAATGTACGCCAGGGAGCGTCAAAACAATGTTGTGTTCTTAGTTATAGCGTTAAATGTAAACTGTATAAGCTATTTCAGAGCAATAAATACTGATACGTTAAGCGAAACAACTATACTTTTAATGAGAGGTTGTTAAAACTGACTACAAATCCTATTTATTGGTATTGAATTTACGGCAGCAGTCAAAAATAATTTCATTTCATCAAGTTTACCTACGCCTATGACCGACATCGAAATCGAGCCGAACTCGACGGAATTTCCCGTTCCCAAAACAATTTATCTACAAAAAAGGACACATGACACAATCAAAGTTCTCTTTGACATATTATTAAGGGTAATAAGCTATACGGGAACTGTCACAGGTAAATTACATCGTAGTCGCCTGAGAACAAGCGAGTAATAAAATATCGATAATGTAGCGTCGGATGCTTAATAGGCCAGCTGGAGTTTATCGAGAGAACTAGAACAGAGGCGGATCCGTCTCCACTTTATTCGTAGATTCCAGAAAAATGCCAAAGATAGTTGCCGCTTTCTCTTGCAGTTAATTGTTGTGCTGTCAGCCTTGAACCTTAACGAACGGAATAATTTTGTATTTGTATTAACTTTGCGTTACGTTGGACATGCAATTTAAGCAAATTCAATATTTTAATGTTTTCCTCTCTCTCTCTTCAAAGTAAATAGCATAACTTATGTAAAAAGTAATTTACTTATTGTAATTGTTGGAAATTTCACCTTTTGGAAAATTATACAGAGTAGCTCCCTATTGCAAGATATGTTTATATCTCTATAAGAAACTATTTGATCGAAAATTTGGAATATGAAAGTTGTTTGTTTGGGTTCCAAATAATTGCCATTGAATTGAGGGTATTTCATGAGTATTTTATATGTTTCATTTGTTTTATCCCGATTTTATCATTACTATTGCTAAACGAGTGAAGTAAAAATATGTGTCTTTATATTTTTTTGCATAAATTGAAATCTATATAAAAAAGCTCTGAATGAAAATGTTCATCGGACTAGTGGTTTTTTTCATAAACTTTTTCACTTTTGGAAATTTGTAACTAACAATTCAATATAAAAAAAAATTGGTTTGTCACTCAATTTTGTCGATTCTACATCAACGCAAATTATTATTTCAATAACACAATCACCAAAAACAACAATTATGTTGTTTTACTAATAAAAAGTATTTATTTACAATATTTTATAAGTTTGGAAAGTATATTTATTTTATAGACGAATTCCTCTCTATTAATATGTATATGAACATAAGGGCTGTGTTCTTACCTTAGGTAACCAATAATGGCTGAAATATAAAATATAAATTATTCCTAACATAATTACTGATTAACCGTTATGCCAGACACGGACACACAAGAATTAACAATTTTGCAATAGATTTACTTTAAATAGGGTGTTCAAAATTTGATGCGAGATTATGTTTTATTTTTAATTAAACAATTTGTATGTTATTTATGGTCCAATGCAGAATAGAATTCATTGGCTACACTTTTTGTCATTCTAAATTTTATGTTTGGATATGATTTTTCCAGAACATTAAATCCAAACAGGAAACTCTAATTTAGAACAGGATAATCAACAAAAATAGTAGGGACACAAAAAACAAGAAATGTTAAATGAAGGTAAACGAAATCATTACGATGCATTTTTATTCGCACACTTAACAAACTCTAGTATTATTCGCATTGAACATTAGATCTTCGACGTTTTTGTTTGGATTTAATTTTAGTAAAGGAACGTAATTCAATTAATATATCTCCATTTTCTACAAGCCTCGAAAGAATAAACAAGCCACGCAGCCTAAAGGTTGCGAATTAGGTGATCTGGATGGCCAGTTCCCGAGATTTTTGATTGGGTTTAAGTAGGTACATAAAACCAACATGTCAAACTCTATCAAAATCAATGTTAACTAGAAAGACGTTTGGGGTTTAATTAACTTTTGATAAGAAAACAAAACAGCAAGAAAACGGTTAAACATTGCACACCACACCATTTAATATAACGTACATTGTGTCCGTTTTTTCCTATTTTGTACTTTAGAAAATGATATAATTGATTGCTAAATTTTGTTTTTCTACTCCCTTCTCTAAAATTACTAATTATGAACCGATCTACCGTGCGGGAAGCGTCAGTTTACCACGCGAGTTTCTTGTCGCCCAGATCCGAACCATTTCGGACATTTCCGGGATATTACCGCACGGGTTTGGGAGCGATCGGAGCTTTTCGGAGATTTCACCGAAAGGCATTCTGACGGTCATGTCTCTTTACATATTTGAATTCTTCTCTAGAGGACCGCTCTTGTAGTGTTTTTAGTATTTCAGGTTGGCTTTGTAATTGGCAACAATTGCCATTTAGTAACTGACATCTAAGGGACCGAGGATGGCTCGGTTAGTAAGGCGTTTACCTGAAAACTCGAACTTGCCAGAAGTTGTGGGTTCAATTCCCACCGGGAGCCTTGAGTGTTATGTGCGTGGAAAAATAAGTATCGGTAAAAATTTTCCTCGGTGGATGCCGGAAAATGGGTGAATAATCCTAATTTGTGATGAACCCAATTAAGCGCATAAAAAAACTGACATCTGACAATTTGTTTGACGTTTCCGCTGGACAATATGGCGCGCCGTCTGTAACTAATTGTTTTTTATCTTTGAATATTTTTACTATCTGTACACCTTATTGTTTTCAATATTTCGTGCTAGTTTGATTACGTTGTCACCTTGCCGTCTAAGTTACCAATTGTGCTATTAGACGTACACTGGTAATGTGTTTATAAAAGGCTGTCCATCGAACGCCATGTTTACATTCATAACAAACAAACAATGATTTTCAAATCAACAATGTCAACCCTCTGCTTGTATAGGTTGAAAGATGTACGTTGTGTAAGTTCTCTCTCTCTCTCTCTCTCTCTCTCTCTCTCTCTCTCTCTCTCTCTCTATATATATATATATATATATATATATATATATATATATATATATATATATATATATATATATATATATATATATAATTGGAAATTGGAATCCTGCAGACGTTTCGCCAAAATCTCACTTTGTATCTTCAATGCTCGCGCTCCGAAAACACTTCGAACAATAAAAAAATCAAATCTAATAATGCATAACGAGAAAAAAAAATTCATTAGATAAAAAAATCTAATGGGCTAGTGTCACTTCTTAAGGCTTTCTTATTAGTGCTTTATTTGTTTTATTTAGTCGAATCAACCAAAACTAAAACACTGTGCAGATTATTAAAAGACCTGTTATTACACGTACCGATGGTTCAACCTCTTTTACCAGGGATTTCGAACCGAGGATATTTTTTTGGTTTAAATATTCTCTTTTTGTATGAAGCTAGTTTCTTAAGGGAGGAATTTCAATAACAGAATGTAGACATCCTATGGACAAAAGGTACCTGTTTTGAATAGCATACATCATGGTGCTCCAGAAAATTCCAGCTAAATGTGTGAAGGTTTTTAAATCGTGTGCTGGATAGAGGTGGGCTTTATTATTGGCCTCCTCGATGTTTTTATTTAAATCCTTTGGATTATTGTATATCTGAGGATATCTAAAAAAATAGTATATACTACCCCATGCGAAGACCTAAGAAATCGGAAAATTGCCATGGTAGGACTTTACACATCTCGAAATTGAATTTTTTTAAGAACACCGTATAGCGTGAATAACCCTGTATATTGGATTTATAAGTAAAAAATAATAAAGAACCTATATTGGGGGAGGGGGCTTCCCTGTGGTACTCCTTGTGATCCACGTGATATATTTGATCGTTGACCTCCAATTATTAATCATATAAAATTCGTGAATTTAGAATATTCGGATTTTACAAAATTTTGATGCTAAATCGAAACATTTGCCTACGGTGCGACGATATCGCCCAAAGTTGGATGTTCTTGGTGCGGTGCATACCTCGTTCGTACGGCCATACCCCACCTCCATATTCGAATTTCCATAATTACAACAATAATTTGTGCGTTTCGCCCGGACGTTGTTTATATTTACCTTCGCGAATCGTTGATAGTGCTAGTCTTTTCTCGATTCTTGATCTGGTGGCATGCGTTACGTTTACCAGCTCACCGATACACAGATTGATTCACTTTCAACGCGCTGTCGTGGTATTCTCGTTGAGTAACGGCTTGGTGATTGTCTCGTTTTGGTTTTAGTTCGAATTGTACATTTTTTATCTTCAGTTTTCTGCATCGTTTCGGCTTGAACTTGTTGGATTGTTGTCGTTGTGTTGGTGAGTCGTTTCTGACTTCTACATGCGTTTGTATTCATTCTACCTAAACTCTTTTAAATCATAGCTATGATTATTATTATCATTATTATAAGATTACAAACAAATAGTAAAATTATTTCTAAGATTTACGAATACTAAATCATCTGCAGTTTCTTAAATAATTACGGAACTGTTAAACTTAACCTTATCCCATGATGATTCTCAGGGGTCTCGAGGGTTAGGCAAATGGACAAAAAATTATTAAAACTTTTTCTTTTCGTGGAAGGGTCGCTGGTAAAAAAACCGGTTCTGTCAAGGAATAGAAAGGCCCGAATAGAGTTTTCCAGAGCTCATCTGTCTAACTCAAGACACAGATTAAATTTGGGTGTTTGGACTGACGAAAGCAAATTTTTCCAGTTTGGTTCTAATGGAAAACAGTATTTAGGAAGGCCCAATTATTACCGCGAAACACAAAGGTGGGAATCATTCAAGTACGAGGTACAATGAATGATTTCAATACAAAGAGATACTCGAAAATACAATTGTACCAATTGCACACACAGAGATGTCGTTGCAATGACGATTTCAACTAAACAGTGATCCGAAACACGCATCCAAGTCAGTGAAGGAAAGGTTTAGAGAAAAAATATGACTGTACTTAAGTCAGGGGTGGGCAAATACTTTAAAGCGCGGGCCAAAATGAAATTTTCAAAATGTCTCCCGGGCCGGAGGACTATACCGCGTATGCTTTGCACAAGCGGATGTTTTGGATGGAGTTTTTTCCCTGCCCAATTTTTTTTTTTTTGACAAAAACACTAAGTATCATTTCAATTTGAATAAAATATGTCACGTAATTTTTAAAGAAATATTGTTATAAATAAATAGCTATTAGATAAAACAGTCAATGAAAGATTTTATTTTGTTACTTATTTATGTCTTAACGATACAAATTATTTTATATTGACACATAGTTATTACAATTTAACATTTATATTGCATTTCGTAGATATAATAGTAAGTAGAATTCAAAAAAGAAAAGAAAAACATCAAACGTTAAAATAAATATTTAAAGTTAATGCGAAACGTGAAATTTCGAATGTTCATCTGACATCATTTCTTCAAAATTGGGTTCCAAATCACTTGTAGCAATCCTTAATACCGAGTGTAGATTTTCGTCAGCAATTTGTGATCGATATTTATTTTTCGTGGAAACGGAAACCATTAAAGAAAAAGTTCCTTCACAAATATATGTCGAACCAAATAAAACAAGGTATTTTTGAACATAGTTCAAAAAATGTTTGAAATGTTCGTTATTCAAAGCGCCATAGAAAGCACTCAATTCGTTTGAGTGAAAATTTTCTTTTAGTAAATTATTTGATTGTTAGTTCTAGTTGAATTTCAACAGGAGCTTCTTGCACATCGAAATTGAAAGGTTGGCTAATTAATGATAAAGGTTTTTCAATAGCTTTGAAATCTTGAAATCTTCTTTGGAATTCAGAATGCAGGTCTTGTGTTATTGCACTATATTTAAAAAATCTGTATTTTTCAATGATTCTCGCCGTGCTTGCAATTAGGGGAAATGATTTAATAATTTATTATTAAAGTTTTCAGCAAATAAATTGAGTTTTGTCATAAATGCTTTGACGTTTGAGTGCATATTGAAAGGGAATTGGTTTTTCCCTTGTAGATTTATATTTAGTTCATTCAAATATTTTGCGATATCTACTGAAAACGAGAAATCATTTAGCCAAGCCTTATTTTGCAATTCAGGAAAATCATGTAGTTTTTCTTTTATCGACAAAAAGGATACTATTTCATCAAGCAAATATTGAAATCTGTCCAAAACTTTACCAATGCTAAGCCATCTCACTTCAGTGTAATAAGGAATTTCATAGAAGTCACTTTCAATTTCTTTCAAAAATTCAACAAACTGTCGATGATTTACGGCACGTCCTCGGATAAAATTCACAACTTTGGTCACAACAGTAACGATGTGATTCAATTTCAAAACTTTTCTGCATAGCACTTCTTGATGAATAATGCAGTGCAAAAATAATATATCGTGTTCTGGTTGTAACTCTTTTACTTTGTCGCGAATTCGTTTAAGTAAACCTACATTTTTCCCTGTTAAACTAGGACAACCATCCGTAGTGACGCTTACTATTTTATTGCAAGTTAAACTTACTTTAACTAAACACTCTTCAACAGCGAGAAAGAAGTCTTCACTAGTAGTTGTATCTTTCATTGGATGCACACTAAGAAGTTCCTCGCTAATTTCACATTTCTTGTTAATGCCGCGAATAAATATTAATAATTGACTTGTATCAGTAATATCGCAGGACTCATCTAAAGCCAGAGAACAATAGGTAAAATCAGCAATTTTTGTTCTTAGCTGGTCAAGTAAGTTTCCTGAAATATTTTCAATCCGTCGTACTATTGTTCTTCTCGAAAGGCTTACATTTTCAAAAATATGTTTCTTTTCAGGACAACATATCTCCGACACTTGTACCATGCATTGTTTAACAAATTCTGCTTCAGAAAACGGCTTACAGAACTTAGCAATTTTGTGTGCGACAACATAACTTGCTTTTGTGGTAGATTTCTCTATATTACTTTGTTTGGTAAAAATATTTTGTTGCTTATTCAAGTTTTTTGCTAAGTTTTCTACTACAGTTTGAAGTTCTTTTAAAGAAAGTGATGCATATTTTGGATGTTTTGTTGTAAAGTGCCTGTTTAAATTGTATTCTTTGAAAACAGCAATTGTTTCCTGACAAACTAAACAAATTGCTTTCTTATTAATGTTTGTAAAAAGATATTTTACCGTCCAAGCTTCATTGAAGTTTTTGCATTCCAAATCAACTTTTCTTTTTTTAGATTGACTCATTTTACAAAGGTCTACAAATAAATAATTTAATTAATACAATAAAATAAAACCAATGTTTTAAAATTTTACTTACAAAAATTCCACTTTTTCAATTTTATATTTGCAAACTAATATTAGACTCGAACAAAAAAGAGTATGCGATCAGTGCTAAATCAAAATTAACAATACGCGTGGTGCGACCTGTCGTCCCTCGAAAAGTGAGAGGAGTGCAGCATATGCCGTCCACACATGCATTTCGAACATAGCGCGATCTCCTTTGTGTTCGACGAAAAAACCGCCCTGAGAGCGATCGTCGCGAGCGACCCGCATGAGAATCGCGCAAGGATTGTTTCAGGCTCGCGACATCGTCCACACTAGTGTAGTCAGCCGACCGCCCATTTTATTACGCCTATTATATATACAGTACGCACACTAATAATGTTGATGTCAACAAAATCTCATAAAAGAGTTTAAAAAAATTTGGGTGCGGAATTTTTCAACAGGCCGGATAAAATTAGCAAAAGGGCCGGATCCGGCCCGCGGGCCGGCTTTTGCTCACCCATGACTTAAATCGCCAGATCTTGGATCGACGTATTCGAATGCATTCAATGTTAAAAATCAACAGTAACTCTTAGTATCATTCAGTCAGATTCGTCGCAAATTCCTAAAGAAACCCTACAAAAATTGATTGATTCTGGCCCAAGAAGATGGCAAGATATCTTAGCTGCTCAAAGCTACGCTATAATCTACTAAAAACAATAAATCACGTTTTTGTAAAATATTTTTCCAAAGAATAATAAAAGTTTCGAAACATATTTCCAGCTTTTATTGGCAATTGTATTGAAATTTAAAAATAATTAATCAGAATGAAAATAATTCTTTGCAAAATGACCAATACTTAGTAGCCTGCAGTTGTGGGTAAAGTTCGTTCTTGTTCGTTTGCTGTTGCTGAGAAACTGAATAGTAAAATTGCGTTTTCTAAATATGAGAAATTGCAGGTTGCGAAAATAGTTGAAATGTGTTCAAATATGACAGGCAATAATATACCAGCTTACACACGACGGTAAATGCGCTCTCGTCATGTAATAAAAAAAGAATGAATTTGCGTTACGAAAAAACTCAAAACAGGAACTCTCTTAATTGTGAAAAATCGAACATGTGATTGAAATATAAAAAACCACGACTGTACATTATTTTTTCTTTTCAATTTCATCGGTCAAGCAAATATCTTAAATATCACCGATGATACCAATTTGTGTATACGTCGTTTTATGACAGTAACAATAAACGAATTAATGAATGTATTAATTCCGATATAACAAACTTTTATAATTGTACCAGTGAACACCAAGGTCGTCTGTAGTTTTTGTAAATGATAGTCAGGTCGAAACGGTAAAAAAAGAATTTTTAATAAAATTTAATGACTTGCCACAGAAATTTTCTGATTAGTGTAAAAGCCTGGGCCTCCCTCTAGACTATAAACTTATATTTGGAGAATATGTTAACCTATGAGCTTAGGAAAGCCTATTGTGCATTCAAACTAATTTAATCCAACACACAATTGCTTATTACGAGCAAGCAAAAACCTCTCTATAACTCTTTGATTGCTATCTCAGTTAAACCACGAATGTGCAATCTTTACCGCTTGGCTTGACTCAGCGGTTAAAAAGCGTGTACAAAAACTTCTAAACTCATATTTAAGGGTAACAATGGGGTACGATAATAGTTAACATGCCTAACAGATTTAAGTTACATATGGCATACAAGTTTTTATTTGTTTGATTATAATCATGTTTAATAATTATTTAATAAACTACCTGTAGTGCCATTGTCATATTACTTTCATTCCCAAACTAGTCTACGATTCGAGATGTGTAGCCTTAAAAACTAAAATATGATATTTTGAAAAACTGTCATTGCAAGTTTACATTTTATTACTTTCTTGCATTAAGAAATTAAATATAACGTGGATCGACTCAATTTGGTTAAAAGATTATTGGCCGTGCGCCACTGCCTCTTTAAATGATAACAATGACAGTGAAGTATGAAATACGAAAAAATTATCTAATATATAAATAGGACAATAACGAAAACTTTTTTGATATTTATCGTAATTTATATCAGACAGCTAATTCTAAAATTACTATTAACTATTCAT